CATCATCAGATTTAAAATTCACACAAACTCATAATTGGTAAACATTCTTTTAGGTCTTGCAGGACTGCAAAGACCTAAAAGAATGTTTACCAATTATGAGTTTGTGTGAATTTTAAATCTGATGATGGCGCTGTTGTCTCGCCGAAACGTAATGAAATAAACGATATTCTTTTTACTTGTTACTATCAGATAGGCCAATGGCGTGCTCGCTTTTTTGGAGGAAAAATACAAAAATCTTGCCTCTGCTTGCCACCAAGCTGAAAACACTAAAACAATCAAACAGACAAGCTAAACATTCCGATAATGGAACCATTTCCGCAAATAGTGACGAAGTTTTCCTGGTAGAACCGATAAAACTCATGTTAACATAACGCTCCCAATACATTCAGTATGAATGCAGATGGCTTGTGTTTGGCACTAGAAACAGGCAATTGTTCTTAAGTACCACCCTGCTCAAGCTGAACCGATTCGGATTCACCGCTCAGTGTCGATCAATTGATCAATGGCGCAAAATTGTTCTTATAGTTTAATTCAAAATGCCACAAACGACGATGGCTGGGCCGACCTTTCCTTCAAAGGTAAGTCGCATTCATTGATGAAGTTGGGGGGTCCAAATGGGCTTTCTTGTAACCTACAATATTATTCGCGATTTTGAAACTAGCGCAAAATATGCAAAAATGAGCCAGTGAGACCTGGGAGTTATCTTTCTAATAGTCGATCACATTTGATCAAGATCATGGTTGATTAAAGGGGGAAATGGCGAATAGCGCAATATCATGCTATCATCATCAGCGACTGGGTTTACTCGTCTCTGACGTACCGAACTAACGAGCTAGAAAGGTTCATTTTATCGATTTTTCTTGTTTGCAAAAACAATAGATTCTCACTGTTAGAACAAGGATTAATCAAACCACAAAACCCAACTGGCTGTTATCGTGCGCCAACTTCGGGAGTTTCGACTTATCAGCGGCAAGAAAAGACTCAAAATACACCAAAAAAAATCAACATCAGCACGAAACGCAGAATTGCAGCACATTATTATATAGTTAAGTACCGAGAGTGTAGAACATTCCTAAATTCGTCGCAATGGAAGGTCAGGCTCGTAAGTTGCAGATGCGTAATGAGGATTTTGTACAAGTTTTCCACCGCTTTAAAACGTTTTAAATGGAAAAAGTAGCAGCAGAACTTTGTTGGCCGAAGTTGAAGCTTCAGTCAAATTCAGCAAACTTGAGTCACCCTCTATGCCCAATGAATGGGGTACAATAGGGTGTTTTCACTTTTTTTTTAATGTTGATATATGGAAAGTGGTTATGGCAAATATTACACTAAACTAAATTTTTTTGCAAAAAAACTCCCTAATAATTTTAAAGCGAATTTAAATTCAATTCAGATACTTTCCGCCAAAAACGCCGAATCCGTATCGTTGGTTGCCTAT